TGACCCCCTGATCAATAACGGAATCACGTCCTCGAACGACCCCCCGGACCTCCGGGATTACCTTAGCTGGCGCACCCGGGCCTTCCGTCAATACGAGGCCCTGGTCCGGGCCAAGCTGATCAAGTCAGCCGCCCCCAAGACGCCTGGCGGTTTGATTCGGACTCCGTTTCCGGTCAACCGCATCCCGGCTCCGGCCCCTTTCCGCCCGGTGGCTCCGGTCGTGCCACCCGCGGCCCGCGCCCCCGCTCCGGCGCCTCCAGCTCCCGTCCCTATGGAGTTGGATCGCACCAGGGCTCGGGGTGCCCCTCGTCGCGCCTGCTTCAGGTGCGGCGACCCAAACCATCTCGCCCGGGATTGCCCCCTCCCCGCCGATGTCCGCTCAATGGACATCCTCGACGAGGTGATCCAACAACTCGGTGACGAGATGTTAGCGGAGTTGATCGCCCGCTACACGGACACAGCTGCCCTGCCGGAGACGGCAGCGGAGTCGATGGCCGGAGAGGATTTTGTCCCCGCGACGAGTGACTGGTGTGCCCTCGTTCGCGTCTATAAATCGTTTTGCCTCTTTGTATGATGAATGCAGTTCCTTGCCCTACAATGAGCCCGAAACGAAAGACACACCCTCTCCTGCCCCCCGCCTCGACTCCGTCTCCGACTCCGTCTCCGACTCCGCCCGCGACTCCGGTCATCGTCCTCCGCCGCCTCACTGCCTGGGAAAAGAAACTGCCCAAGCAGTACACCGTTGCCGCTGCCCCTGGGGCGAACTCCCTCCACCTCCCGTTAGAGCTCGAGTCCACCACCACCGCGCTGAAGCTCTCACTCTCTGGGCTTGTCGACTGTGGTGCCACCTCCGACTTCATTGACACGAACTATGTTGCTCGGAATGGCATTCCGGTCCGCACCCTCGATCAGCCGATTCCGGTTTTCAATGTCGATGGCACCCCCAATGACGCTGGCTCCATCAAACAGATCACGGACTTGGTCCTGCGCTACAAGGGCCATGCCGAACGAGTTCAGCTGGCCGTCACCCATCTTGGCAAGCAAGACCTCATCCTGGGGTATTCCTGGTTGCGGAAACATAACCCAGAGATCAATTGGGAAACCAAGGAGGTCAAGATGACACGGTGCCCCCGCAATTGCTCGACCTGCCGTGAGGAAGAGCGGGTCGAACGGACCGAGTGGCGGCGACTCCGGTCGCTTCAGAAGCGTCTCCGCTCCGGCCCGTTCCCCTCGGTCTGCGCCATGGACCTTTCTGGGTCTGATGACGGAGACGATTCCGTCTCCGGTGACGACTCCGGCCTGCCTGATCTGACGCCGGACTCCGACGACGACGATGACGATGGTCAGCTTGAAGATGGTGACCGCATCTTCTACACCTCGTTCCGCCCCTCGGAGGAGATACCGCTGGCAGTACTGTCTCGCAACGCCTGGCCGAAGCCTTCGCCAGGAACTCCGCCCCTCCGCCCTCCGAGATCCCGGACTGGGCTAAGGAGTTCCAGGACGTCTTCAACAAGGAGTCCTTCGACACGCTACCGGAGCGGAGAGCCTGGGACCACGCCATTGAACTCGTCCCCGACGCTAAGCCCACCAACTGCAAGGTGTACCCCATCTCGCCCCTCGAGCAACGCGAGCTCGACGCGTTCATCGAGGAAGGGCTTTCGACGGGCCGGATTCGCCCCTCCAAGTCTCCGATGGCGTCTCCGGTCTTCTTCGTCAAGAAGAAGGACGGCGGACTCCGCTTCGTCCAGGACTACCGTGCTCTCAACGCGATGACTGTCAAAACCGGTACCCCCTTCCGCTGATCAACGACCTCATCAACCGGCTCAAAGGCGCTCGTTACTTCACCAAACTCGACGTCCGTTGGGGCTTCAACAACGTCCGGATCAAGGAAGGTGACGAGTGGAAAGCGGCTTCCGGACTAACCGAGGCCTGTTCGAGCCCTTGGTGATGTATTTCGGCCTGACAAACTCTCCCGCGACGTTCCAAACGATGATGAATGACATTTTTCAGGACCTCATCCTCTCCGGAGACGCCATGATCTACCTTGACGACATCTTGATCGCCCATTCCGACCTCCGGAAACACCGGCAGATTGTCCAGGAGGTCTTACGGCGACTCCGGGAGCACAAGTTGTACCTTCGAGCGGAGAAGTGCGACTTTGAAAAATCGTCAATCGAGTACCTCGGAGTCATCATCTCCCACAACCACGTCGAAATGGACCCCGTCAAGGTCGCAGGCGTCTCCGCTTGGCCGACTCCGGAAAACAAGAAGGACATTCAGCAATTCCTTGGGTTCGCTAATTTCTACCGCAGGTTCATTCGGGACTTCTCGACCCTCGCGCGCCCTCTCTTCCTGCTCACCAAGAAGGACCAGCAGTGGACTTGGGGCGACGGAGGCCTCCGCGTTCCAAGCGATCAAGGACGCGGTCACCTCGGAACCGGTCCTGGCGATTCCGGACGACGCACGGCCTTTCCGACTCGAGGCGGACAGCTCTGATTATGCGACGGGGCGGTTCTTTCACAATCCGCCCCGGACGGGAAGTGGCACCCTGTAGCATTCTATTCCAAAAGCTTAAATGATGTCCAGCGCAACTACGAAATCCACGACAAGGAGATGCTCGCGATCATCCGCGCACTCGAGGAGTATAGACACTTCCTCGGGGGCGCCGCGCACCCTGTCGAGATTTGGACTGACCATAAGAATTTGGAGTACTTCAGGAAGACGCAACACCTCAACCGGAGACAGGCCCGGTGGTCTCTGTACCTCTCCCGGTTCGACTTCACGCTGCACCACAAGCCTGGCCGCGATATGGGTCGGCCTGACGCCCTCTCCCGGAGACCCGACCACGGAGTCGATTCCGACAACTCCGACGTCGTCCTTCTGCGGCCTGAACTCTTCCACGTCCCGCGCACTCGAGGGCGTTTCCGTTTCCGGTCCCGGCTCTGAACTCCTCCGTGACATCCGTGATGCCCTCTCCGGTGAGCCTGACCTGGAGGAGCCCGTCGCACTAGCGGCCCGGCAACTTCTTAAGGTTCAAGGTCAAGCTCGAGGCCCCCGCTCCTCACGTTCTGACGAGTGGGCCGTCTCCGGCGGTCTTCTCCATTTCCGAGGAAAGATCGTCGTACCAAAAGACAAGGACCTCCGGAGACGCATCATTGAGCTCTGCCATGACACCCGAGTCGCCGGACACGCAGGTCGTTTCAAGACCCTGGAGTTGGTCTCCCGGAACTACTGGTGGCCTCAGATGTCTCGCCATATCGGCCGGTATGTTGCGACCTGTGACTTGTGCTGTCGCACCAAGGCACTCCGGAGACTGCCCCACGGAGAACTGCACCCCACGGAAACGCCTCCGGAACGCTGGCATACCGTCTCCGTCGACTTCATCGTAGAGCCTCCCGAAGCCCATGGGTACGACGCGATCATGGTCGTCGTTGACACCCTCGGAAAGCGCCCACTTCTCAGAGTGTCATACGACGGTTGATGCAGTAGGGGCAGCCCGCCTCTACTACCGGAATGTCTGGCGGCACCATGGGACTCCAGAGAAGTACGTCTCCGACCGCGGCTCGCAGTTCATCACGGACTTCACCCGAGAACTTTGGCGTCTAATCGGCATCAAGCCCGCCACGTCCACCGCGTACCACCCGCAGACAGACGGTCAGACAGAGCGCGTCAACCAGGAGCTGGAGCAGTACTTGCGGATCTTCACCAACTACCAGCAGGACGACTGGGATGAGCTGATTCCGGCCGCGGAGTTCGCCTACAACAACCACGTTCACTCCTCCACGCAGCAGGTCCCCTTCATGACGGACACGGGACGGCTCCCGCGCATGGGCTTCGAACCCGGAGTCCGTTCCGCCAAGGAGTCAGTGAACGAGTTCCGCGACCGGATCGCTACTGGTGTTGCTGAAGCCAAGGCCGCGCTCACTAAGGCCAAGGAGGAGTACAAGCGCTACTACGACCGGAGACGGACTCCGTCTCCAGAGTTTAAGGTTGGCGACCGTGTTTGGCTGGATGCCTCTGACATCAGGACGACTCGCCCCTCGGAAAAGTTCTCCCATCGCCGCCTTGGACCGTTCAAGATAGTCGCAGAGATCAGCAAAGGTGCCTACAAGCTCGACCTCCCTCCGCGCTACTCGAAGCTCCACCCGGTCTTCCCCGTCGTCAAGCTCGAGCTCGCTCAGGACGACCCCTTCGACGGACGCCCCGGCTACGACCAGCCCCCTCCGGACCTCGAGGACGGAGTCCCGGAGTGGGAAGTAGAGGAAATCCTGGACGCAAGGGTGAGGTATAAGCGGCTGAACTACTTCGTCAGATGGAAAGGCTACGACGCATCGCACGACCAATGGGTCCGCTTCGACCGCGTCTTCGCCCGGAGAAAATTGCGGAGTTCTATCGTAAGTACCCTGGCAAGCCACGACACATTGCCTCCGCGACCTTCGACTTGATTCCGTTCCGGTCTATGCCGGGGACGCCGCATTCAAAGGGGGGTGATGTCAGGGGAACCTCCCTTTCGGCCCCTCGGAGACGCCTCCGATTCCGGTCCGACTCCGGTTCCGTCCACCCGTGGCTGTAGCCTGTTTCAATCATCCCCGGGAACTGCCAGAAAATCCGATTCCATCATCCCTGTGTGTTGCCAGGTCTCTGACAACACTCGAACCCCACCCGCTTCCGTGCTTCCTTGCCGCTGATCTCCGAACTCCGCTTTATCCTGCAGCTTTGATATCATCATTACGACTGATTTGGTCCGAATCATACAATTTTAACATTGTTCTCTACATTCCCTCTGCCATAAATGTTCCCTCTAATATTTCCCGCTCCTCCTCTGCTGCCCAATGACGGACAGCAGCTCCCATTGTTTTGTCCCACTCCTCTCGAAAGCGCACTATAAATTCAGTATGCAGGTACACGTTACGCAGCGCATAAGCTCGGATTCCAGCCGCCGTCGTTCCATCAACGTCTGAACGAACTTCGTCGGCTCGTTTTTGCCATTCTGAAGCCTCCTACTTCAATGATCGCATGACCCGCTTCATCTCCTCTCGCAACAATTCAACCTCCTCGTTCCAGCGTTCCTTCCGTGCACGTGCTTTTGCCCACTCGACACGCATAGCTATGATACCACGTTCAACCGAAAGCAAATGGTCAACAAGCCATAGTTACTCACAGTCATGAAGTTCAACCCCGTCGGCCTGCCCGCCTGCTGCCCAAATCCAGGAAATTGGCGCCGTCTTGGTTTTCTTCTTTTTTGCAGCAGTCTCCTCTCTCGTAGGTCGCGATCCGTCTGCTGTTCGTAAGCTTCTTGCTGCATCTTCGTCACCTCGATTTCGATACGAGTGTTCAAATGGGCCTTGTCCAATTTTTGAAACTCGGGAGCGTAACGCTTGCCTTTGAGGTGAACGAGAGCCTCGTAGCCTTCAGTATATTTGGCAGCGGCCTTCGTTACACCTTCTTCCATCCGAGCCATTAGAGTGACGGAGCGCGTTCTTGCACGTTGCCCCACCATGTTTTCCCCCGCGAAACCAAATCATGTGTTGCTTCGAATGAAGCCTCCCTCGTAAGGCAGCCAGTGCATCTGCACACTGTCCCCGACGCAATTTCGCTCGGTCTCAATCAAGTCCGCCATGCTGACTTGTCGACACTCTTCCGCGGTTAACTGTGACGGAAGATAAAGCTTTTTGCGTTTCCCGGTTGCGCGTCCTCCGCGTCCAATTTATACCGCTGCGTCGCGAAGACCCTGAACCCCAGGCATGTAAGTTAGTTGAAGTTTTTCAAGGTGCGCATTTGTTTGATCAGAGATAGACGTAATTCTTGTATCTGGCTCGCTTGATCTGCTGACTTTTTTGCCTTCAGAGCAGTCCGTATACGACGCCTGGGGATAGTGAATAGAGTGTGTGGAATGAAGACTTTGACATACTGGATGGCCTGAAGCTGCATACCCGCTCTGATGAACGCTGTTATGGTCATTTTACCTTCCAGCAAAGGTTTGATTCCGGCTTGTGCATCTTCCACCTCAGCTCGTTTCAACTCTTCACTTATTTCGCGTTCACTAGGCCCGGCTGTCGAGACAGGTCATCAATGCTACAACAGGTATTCAACGTCATGCATACCGAGCTTCCCACCCTGGACTTCAAATGGATTCGTCTGGGTGTTATCCTTATACCAGGCATCCATCATCTTGGCCCATTCCCGTCGCGGGTTTTTTTTTAGGAACGCTGTCGTCCAGCTCCTGGAATTCAATGCCCTGCCTTTGACGCTCTGCTACAGCGACAATCAAACGTCTTGCAAGTGTCCGCCCTTGCAAATAGTGAGCTTAAACTCTCAAAGAAACCTTAACTGACCCATGCTCCTGTTTTTCTCAAAATTAATCAGGTCGATCTTGTCCTCCAGGACATCATGACGGGCGCCTTCTCCCATTTCCTTTGTCGACCAACTTGCGGGATTGAGTAGGCTCCACAAACGCTCGGTGCTTTCCCCATCCGTCTTTCCAACACCCAACAAGTACCTAAGCGCAAACTGAATTCGACATTTGGGGTCATGAGCTTCAGCATGCCAGACCGGCAGTCCGTATTGCAGGCGAATACGGTCCAATTCGGTGAATATCTCTTCGATATCCACGCCCGTTGTCTTCATTCGTGCGACGCGCTCAGGAAAGTATACTTGCCAGTGACATACGATGTCGTATGCAAGCAAGACCCACAGAACTTCCTCGTCTGACAGAGTTGATAGCACGGTCCAATCCACGTTTCCATAGCTGGCACAAAGAGTTAGTATCCAAGTTGTTCCTGGCATCAAGCAACTTGCCGTTCTCCACGTTGAAGGTCTCCCATCCCTCGACGACGTACGAGGCCGTGCCGTGCACAGACACAACCAACTACGCCAGAAACTCTCAGGCCAGTGGTCAATTTGGTCTCCTTCTGCAAAAGAGCAGCAAACGCAGCACAAGCCTGGACCTGAAGTATCGCATTAACATGGAATAGATTCGACTAGAGCGCACTGACATCTTTTTCGTCAACGAGCGTTTTGATATGTTCTTTATATGGTCCAGATCGTACGAAGTATCCCAAGCCATCGGTCAACGCCGGATCCATGCGTTCTCCAGCACGAAGCTTGTTCTTCAGGCGGAAATTGGCATCGAATGCCAACATGAGCTTATACAAGTATCTGCACATTTGTTGGTCAAGAATAGTTTGATTAAATAGCTACTCACGCCTTCGACTCCGGAACCTTGTCCCATCCGGAAGGCAAGTTACGAGAAGCATCTGGGCATGCCCAGCAACGCACAGCCAACGCCCCTGGCGGCGTAGTTACAATTCCATTGGCTTCATGCCCGCGACCTCCACGCTTCATCATTTTAAGATAGCTGTGACCGAAAGCAACGCGACGATCTGGGACCTTTTCCAGTCCGGTTGAATCCGTCAACTTCTCCAACGTGCGCACATAGTCTTGGACATTGATGTTTGCGATGGAGCGCAGGAAGCGAAATGTCTCCAAAACGTTGAAGGTTGCACAGGTCGCAGGGGTTTGTTGTCGTGGCCGGATACCACGCATTTTGAAGCAATTGTCTGACGGGGTCGAATCCGAACGGATTCACGCAGCCACAGTACTGCACGTCCAAAGTAAAAATGCCATTGACATCGATGACCACCAACGGTCGACGGTTACTGGGGAATGGGCATGGGGCACCGTCATGACCAAGTTGATAACAGCCCGCCAAACCACGAGCTCCATGCTGGATGGGTCCGGCATAAAACAAGGAGGCCTTCGTCCAGAAGTGACCCGTCCATTCCTAAACAAGCTAGGTAAACAAGTAACAAAATCGGTGAAGAAATAAATACCTGCAATTCATGGAGCGGCAATTTCTGATGAGCGGCTTCCACACAGGTCTCACAATGGAGTCCGTCCCCACATTGCTTGCAGCGAAAAAAACGGAGCCCCGTCTCCTCCATATGATTGGCTTGACAATTCACACATTCTTGGCATGCGTTAGGGTTTCCGAGACCGTCTCTTCGTAGCATTTCCTCCAGAAAGAGAGCCGTCAGTGGTTGCCACATTGCCATAGGATCGTCCTAAGGGAATGAGCTTCTGTATAAAGTCGTAGTATCAACCGACCGATGCATAACGTTTTCTCTTCAATGTCGATTCTTCTTCCAGTTGAATCTCCAACGACGACACAGTATCCACCAGCTCTCTTACGTCCTCCAGTTGCGCATCTGGGAATGGCATCCAGTCAGCGAGTTCAGGTTGAGTTTCAATGACCTCTTGATTAAGGCGAGCCTTTTTTTTAGGCGATGGATTTGTCTGCTGGCTCAGCACGCGCTGTCCATCCAGAGAATAATGAACTTGTAGGTGGTTGAATTCCTCCTCAGCGGGCGTCGTCAAAATATGTGTGTCGCACAACGTTGGGGAGTCGAGGCATGCGAAAAGATGGAGGCATCAACTTGATGCGCTGTCCATTTATTTCACGACAATTATTTCTTTTGGTCCATAAGTAATTACAGGCTACTCTGCGTCAACCTTGGCTGGCGGTTGGGGGAAGTTCAGGTCGGGTTGATTCCTTGACCTCCCGCGTCGGCGCTATGTGAAGATAATGGCAGTCATAGAGACTGCCCGTCTCATCGGACAAGGCCCATCCCGCAGTCCAATCCACATTTTCATAACTGTCCAAAAATGAGGATCGCATTGCTCCCATAAGCCAAGAACTTGCCGCTCTCCAAGTTGAAGGTTTCTTGGTGTTTCGTGGATCTTGTGCAGGACATGCGACTGCGGCTGGTAGATTCGCATCGTTTCAAAGAAGTTGGTCGGAAGGGGGCACCTCGCGGCGTCTGAAGTACAGTGTAAACCGTCACGGCTGGTGGATACAGCTCGCAACGTCCGAGAGTTTCGCGAAAGGGCTTTAAAGTACTGTGTAAACCGTCACGGCTGGTGGATACAGCTCGCAACGTCCGAAAGTTTCGCGAAAGGGCTTTAAAGTGTGTAAACCGTCACGGCTGGTGGATACAGCTCGCCAACAGCTCGCAGTGTCAAGGAACGAACTAACAATCGGAAGGGACCGCTTCCGAGTCGTCACATCGTCACCTATCGTCACACCTCATCAGACTTCATCGCACCAAGGTCACGATTCTGCCATTTTCTCAGTCTGGATCGTGTTGCGAAGGTACACGCTGAACACTGTTCGTTTCTCATGTCTGACAGTTGGCTGCAAGCACATTCTCACCGTGCTCAAGTTGTGCGGAGCGGCGACGACGACATTGAACACTCTCTTCCTTGTTGCTGGATACTCTCTTCCTTCCTCTCTTGTTGCTGGCTTAGACGCTAAGACGTCGGGTCGGGCCGTTTCTCAGATCTCAAGACTAGCTCAGACGCTAAGACGTCGGGTAACAACCATTCATGGCGTCATGCGAAATGTCGACGTCCGGAAATTCATTTGTGCGGCTGCTACCTCTCAGCGCGCTTGATGAGGAGGAGCGACCAAAGGTAACTTAGCTCCCACCAAACCGGTACTCGGACGTTAACCTCTGTTATCAAGACCTCCCCCAAACATTATACTGGTCTTGTGCGAAATAAGCCCGCAATTTTTTTCGTGTTCAACGGCGATCGGGCTGTCATTTACTCCATCCCCAGTCAGCGGCAAGCCCCTCCCACTTCCTCGAACAAAACGCTTAACGGCGAGATGGCCAAAACGGCCTGGCTTAATATGGACCTACCTCACTTGTTATTTATGCCTCGTTTCCACATCTTGCACAATACTCTATTGAAGCCGCTGGACTTTCAGATCGGTGCAACCCCGCAAGAGGAGCTTGTTGTCCCGCATTTTCGTGGTGCGCAGCACGTTCGAGTTAGGGGTATGAAAGGTGACTTGCGTGATCAATGGCTCCGACTCGAGGTTTTTTTGCGAACGACCTTGACTTGGTTAGATCAAAATGTTATGAAAGCGCCAAAGGCTCCGACGGAACTCAAATCTAACGTTCGTCCGTGGCACTCTCTACCATCAACATTCGGGTATACACAACACTTTGACCTTGAATCCCCACAAGATCTACACAAAGCTGTCTTGCAATCTCTCCATGCTTTTCGCCCGCTGCTTGGGGCTATCACATTATTGACTCTAGTTCTCGATGACATTAAAATGCCAGGATGGCGCGAACGCTATATCAAGGAGAGTCAAGTGGATGCGGCACTGTGGGACGAACTAGAAGAAGTCGTTTTCCAGATTGCCGCGGGACCCATTGGAGGTATCTTAGACTTTTCAAGCCCAGCAGCAATCGAGAAAGCTCGGTCTCTGGATTGGCTATTCTCCATGATATTGAAGAATGACATTCGTGTACCCTTGTATTTCTTCTTGAACAGCACCGATCCCCGTTGTTCAATGCTCTTCCCTCCATGCGATGTTACCACCTTTCTGTCCAATCAGAGCACATACAGAAAGTTCGCAATCTTAGTGGCCAAGATGCAATCATGGAATGGACATTCATCGACAACGCTAGGCGCCGATTTGGAGTATTCCGCAATGCTGATTTCTATGCAACGTGCGCTCAAGCTGAGGAACTGCCAAAGAAGCCGCCGGCGGGAAATGCCGCCGGTTGATCCGAATAGCGGCCAAAGATTCGGCGAGAGTTATCAAGATTTTTTCCTGCGGCGCACCAGACACAACACGGCGATCAATTCCCTGGAGGAGAAGGCACAGCTTAAAAAACGACAAGAGCGTGTCACGAAGATGCAAGGACTGGGTCCGAGTTCGAAGAACACACAGGTTTTCATGTGGAATGCTTATGACGGCTTTTTGATACGCAGACCGATAACACATTCATTTGCTGTCAGTGTGTGGAAAGATTATGAGCCCTATCAACGTGTCTATGATGTGGGCTCGAATCAATGGGACCTCTGTCCTGGAATCAGGACTTGGGAAGAGAGCACGGCTTTGACGACAATCGCAGATGATCCGGCGAGGACGAGAACCAGTCAGAACTCTGCTCCGGGCCAAGCAAAAACTCTCGAATCGGGTCAAAGTTCTGATGATCAGTCCGATGACTCCGAGTCTAATTCGGGCCAGCTGGAAATTCCAAACTCTCAACTTGAATCCCATCCGGTGACTTTCGACAGCGAGTCTGTAGCGAATGGTGTCGGGGATGATGTTCAGCTGGAGCCTGACGACAAGCTGGAGCCTGACGACAAGCTGGAGCCTGACGACATCGAGTCTCAAGTGAGCGACTTCGAGTCGAACACGGTTGGGATAGCCAGTGTCAGTGATGTTGCCGACGACTCGGATGCCAGTGGTCGACCTGCCTTCCCAAATCTTCCCGTAAATCTTCCGGATAACATGTCGTTGTTGCTGAACGATGGAGGTGGAGCCTCCGCCAATGTCGTCGCTTTCTACGAGTCTGAAAGAATGGACTTTGAGACAACGCAACTGGAGTCTCTGACAAATTGGGATGATTGCGGTGTCGTCTTAGCAGAACGCTTTGGTCATATAGAAAATCAATCCTTCGACGCTCCAGGACCTGAGGTTATCTCATCCGAGAACTGTTTAAATGTGCTCGGAGACCTCCGTTCATCGTACCTAGTGTCAAATTCGACTCGAGTTCTATTCCAGGAGATTGCAAATGCAAAACCCCTAGCCGAAATCCCAGCAGTGTTGCTTGATTTGGCCCAGGCGGAAGAAGAGACGCACCTCTGGAAAGATCGGGGGATTAACGTTGTTTATTTCCGACAACAAGACGCTCCGGTCCACGAGAGCCGCGTTTCGTGATAACCCCCCGTGGAAGGAACAGCGACCATGGCGAAAAGATTCTGCTTTTCAGTGCGACCACTGTTTTGCACCTCATTCGACTGAGATTTCAAGACTGGGAAGATCTATTGTCGGAACTTGTTCATCTCGGTTGCCCATTCCATATCATACTGGCGAATTCCAGAATCCCATATGCTCCTAGATACATGAGATGGGTTGGTCTTGGGGTTCGTCAAGAGGGTTATCGGCCATCTCGACTCGATTTCTTGTCCTATGTGGCCCACCGAGACCGATTCCTTCACTCTCCACGAGGTGTGCTTGCGCTATATCCGGTGGCATCATCAGCCGTATCGCACGTCATGTTCTCGATGATCCTCTACACAGAATACGTTGGAACTCAGTCGACATCTTGCGGGCTGACGCGGAGATTGTGGATCCAAAGTTCGCCGACCACGCGTACTATTACCATCGCCTCACCCCGCAGGAAGAGGACCTCATTTGTGGTGTGTACTTGGTCGAAATAAGTGGGTGTATCCAGATTATTTCCATGACTATCATCCATTCAGTATGTTATTAGACCACCTGGAACATAGTCGTCACGTCCGAGTGGGCGGTCAGCAAACATCCACAGCCAGATTATCATGGTGGCCTCAGCCCGCAGCATTCTTCAAATCAGGTCTTAATGTTGGATGGTGGACGCCTAATTGCGAGCACTTCTTCCGGAAGATATTGAATGAGATGGAGTCGGGTGGTGGCCGGATGTGGACTCACACAAAATGGCGACGAAATATTAAATACTTTCAGAAGGCCCACCACATTTACG